TGCGCAGAGAGTCGCGCGTTACAGAAAGTGGTTCGTCACATGCTCAGGCCACTGCGTACCTCTACTTGTCGAACTTCACTCAGAAAGGTAAGCCCGGTAGCTTGGTAGCTTGCTAGCTTGCTGTTGTCACATCTGCATGATTGGTCGCATGAGTAAGTTCAATGTTCGGGGACACTGGACCCGATTTCCAGCAGGTGCTGCTCCCCACCAATAGATGGAGCCTCCCGGGCGATGCTAGCGCCGAGCAGTGTCTGCTCTTACCAGCACCCCTAGCCTCTGCTTGGCTGTTCTTCAAAAAAAAAAAAGATATGTGAGGTGAGAGAAAATATATGGCTGTCCCCCAATGAGGAGAAGGCAGCTTTGAAAGAAAAAAAAGAAGAAGAAAAAAAAAAGGCAGAAAAAAAAAGAGCAAGAATGTGTGAGGGGCAAACATGTCGTTACCCCTCGCCACCAAGAGAGGTAACCTCCCTTCACCGAAGAGAGGTAGAAAGCTATGCTTGCAGGGGTCCCCTGTATGGCCAAAGGAGTAGTGGTAGGTAGTGAAAAGAAAGATATGTTGCATGACATGGCAGAAAGCCAATTAGAAGATATGGCTGTCCCCCAATGCGGAGAAGGCAGCTAAAAAAAAAGGAAAAAAAAGGGGGGGGGGAAGTTCTCCCCCGATATGACTTTTTCTGTGTGGGGCTTCCTTGTTGGACTTGGTGGCACACCAAGTGGACCTTCGTCTGCAGAAGCTGAGATGTAGGAGGGCATCTACAACCCATGATGAATGAACCTTTTGACCGTCGGTTAGTAGGCAGGCAGTTATCTCCCATCCCTTCCCCGTCTCTTTTTTTTTTTTTTTTTTCCCATCTCTTTGATGAGGCCAAGCATGGCTAACTGTACATTGTGTCAGCGAGTAATGTGGATGGGTCATAGTGGTGCAATTGGTTCAGTTCGGAAAAGTGAATCCCATGTCTATTATGAACATTGGTCACTTCTGCTTGCTGTGGATTATTGGTGTGTGTTCCGCGCTGGGTGGCTTTTGGGGTGGTACCAGTTTTTTATGTGTCATCATCAATGGGTTGATGCAGAGCTGGGGCAAGGTCCCACTTGCACGTATTACGAGATTGTGACCGTTGATTTGTGCTATCTACGGTCAATATCTCTTAATTCGTGTAAGTGGGACCTAGCCCCAGGTTGCGAGTTCTGCATGTTGTTCACTGGCTTGCGAAAATCCCATTTCGCCTTGAAAAAAAACAAAAACAAAAAAAAAAACCTTCTCTGTATCGGTCCAATTTTGACGGATGTCACGGAGGGCAGACCTGATGAGTTAGAACCCCGGCTTGAACTACATGTGAGTAAGCAAGAAAAAGGAAAATTGATTCGCTTCTGTCTCCTTGCGCGCGCTCCAAGGCGGACCACCTTTTCTGCATCAGAAACAGGTGTCCGCCCTTGTATTCTTCCCTCAAAAGTCCTGGTGCCTCGTCAGCAAAAGAATTCGCCTGCCTCTTTGACTGCCACTTGGAAGGCGGCGGTAACTAGCTCAGCGCGAGACGATCCTCTGATTCTTTATATTTTGTTTTTTTCGAAGATCCTCCTCGCCACACCACTGTCGAAACCAAAAGAGTACGAATGCATCTTTCGCAGGAATTGATAAGGTGCATCCGTTGCTATTCATAGTAACGGATGCACGTTGCCATCAATGGAGGGCAGATGCGCTCGTACTTTTTTTCGTTTCCACAGTGGTGTGCGGAGGCCATCTGTATTTTTCTTTTTTAAGAACTATAGGGTCTCGCTCCACTACTGTCCACTGTACAAAAACTGACAGTGGTACTTCGCTCCACTTACTGTCCACTGTACATGTGCAAAATGGCTTGGACAGTTTGTAGAAACCCCGTCGGAGGCCATCTGTATCGTTCCAAGACGATCCTCCGATTCTCCCTTTTTTTTTTTTTTTTTTTTCCGATCCTCCGATTCTCACTAAAACAAGACAAGACAAAAGGTGGGAGGGGTCTTCAGAGGGGGCTCATCCGGACAACCGAATGGCCTATGAATGTGGGTGACTGTCATCTCTTTGGTATCCTTTTTTACTTTCTTTTTTTTTTTAATTAAAAAACCAAGCCGGGAAGCGGGCCCGGCGTCCCTTCCAAAAATTAGCTGCAGCCCTGAGATGAGCGAGGCTCTCCGGCCAGGCCAAGCTCATGCCACGACTGTGGGCATACTCACAGGAGGACCAAAAGACCCAAAATCCCAAAACTCACAGGAGGACCAAAAGACCCAAAATCCCAAAATTTGAGTCATTTTTCGGGTCACGCTGGAGAGGCTGGCTACCCAAATGCCTCAAACCGGCCTCGACAATTATTGGCAATGTAACTTCGAACTCTTGACAGAAAAAAAAAAAAAAAAAAAAAAAAAAAAAAAAAAAGCCTCAAACCGTGACCCTTCTGTCAGTGGCCTGTCAGGCCGCGGGCGTACCCTTTTTGAGACCACCTCCGGAGGTGGTCTCAAATTACCTTTCCTTTTTTTTTTTCTGTTTTGACGAATTGAACAGAAGAAGACAGCCCGCCAAACAACTGAAAGAGTGACCAGGAACATTTACGTTGTAGATAAGGCCCAAGCTTTAGGGCCTCGCCACACCAATGTGGAAACATCATGAAATTCGACATATGTCAGGAAATTTTCGACATTCCCTCTTTGGACAGAAAAACCCTCTTTGCCACACAGCATGGCGAAGTGAAGAACTCACAAGTCGTATGCACAAAAGAGACAAACTGGGGTGAAGATAGGACAAGCGTTGGGCTCCAAGTTGCAGGCTGGGAAACGAGCCCTTCTCGACAGGAGGTGTCGAAACCCTTTCCCTGACAGCTCCTGAAATTTTTCTGCATCTCGGATTTCGACACGCTGTGTGGCGAGGAGAAAATGTCTAAAATGCAGTTTTCGACATTGGTGTGGCGAGGCCCTTATACTAGCATGTAAAAGAAAAACATTAAAACAATCCATCTTTTCGTTTGGTCCTCCCCCGTGTGACCGGGCGCACTTGCCCTGAATGCGAAGTGTCAAGGTCGCGACTTCATCCTTCGCGACTTCATCCTTTCTGGACGAGGTCCGCCCATGTGGTCCAAATGCCTCAAAAAAGCCGAACCGAATGCCTCAAAATTTTCAGAGTTTTGGTCCCCGTGTGAGTATGGGCCTCGCCACACCACAGTAGAAGTAGAAAGGCCAAAAAATTTGACGGCTGTCAGAACAAATTCGACAGCCTCCATTCGACAGTTTGCCCCCCCTCGCCACACAGCACTGTAGAGTGCACGCACTTGTGAAAGCAAAATGGAAAAAGAAGAACGCGCCTGAGGATACAACAAGCATCAGTCCATCCCGACCTTACCCTCACTCACCAAATTTTGAAGAGAAGTCTACAGCTGCGCCGAGGAGTGTCGAAAGTTCGGAGTAGCAGGCTGGGGATTCAACAACTTTTGACAGGAGGTGTCGAGAAGCATTCTCTGACAACTTGCAAATTTTCTTCCCGTCTCCGACTTCGACAGCCTGTGTGGCGAAGAAGGAATTGTCGAAAATCGCATTTTCGACAGTGGTGCGGCGAGGCCCTATGCCCTGAGGCATTTTCCGGGTCACACTGGAGAGGCTCGCGACCCAAATGCCTCAAATGGTGACCCTTCTGTCAGCGGCCTGTGGGGCCGCGGCGTACCCTTTTTGAGACCACCTCCAGAGGTGCTCTCAAATTACCTTTCGTTTTTTTTTTTTTTTTTTTCTACGTTCGCGAATTGAAGAGAATAGTAGAAGAAGAAAGCCCGCCAAACAACTGAAAGTGTGACCAGCTGTGTGATCGTAGTCTAGGCGCTGAGCGCCAAGTAGGAGGAAGGGCTCTGGATACATATGTTGGTTGTGGCGAGAGTATGCTCTCATTGACATTGGGATTCAGTGCTTCAGTTCTCCGTCGGTGAAAAAAAACAAAAAAAATCCATCTTTTCGTTTGCACGTGCCCTGAATGCAAAGTGTCAGGGTATGGACGAGGTCCGCCCGTCTGACCACACGGGGACCAAATGCCTAAAAAAAACAGAACCAAATGCCTCAAATTTTTGAGAATTTTGGTCCCGGTGTGAGTATGCCCTGTGTCAAGGGCGAAAGTCCCTCTCTTGGTCTCTTCTACTGTATTCTAACTTGGTGCCAGTTCCTATAATAGCCTGATCCCACCTCTAAATATAAAAAAAAAATAATAAAAAAAAATCCACCTCTGCAAAAAAAAAAAAAAGAAAAAAAAAAGACAGCAGTCTATTCCCAGGCCAGACTTTCTTGGAGCCTTCCTCTAAGGCCGCTCTGGTTTGTGTGTATCAGGGGCTCGCCACACCATTGTCGAGAGGCAAAAAAATTTGATGGCTGTCAGAATAAATTCGACACCCTCCCTTCGACAGTTTGCCCCCCTTCAGCCACACAGCACTGTAGAATGGACGCACTTGTGAATGCGGGATGGAAAAAGGCCAACGTGCCTGAGGATACGACAAGCATTAGTCCATCCCGACCTCACGCCCACTCACCAAATTTCAAAGAGAACTCGATGGCGCATCCGAGGACTGTCGAACGCATCCAAGTAGCAGACTGGGAATTCAACAACTTTCGACAGGAGGTGTCCATAAGCATTCTCTGACAACTTGCGAATTTTCTTCCCATCTCCAATTTTGACAGCCTGTGTGGCCAAGAGAAACTATCGAAAATAGTGTTTTTGCCAGTGGTGTGGCGAGGCCCGAAACTATCGAAAGTAGTGTTTTTGACAGTGGTGTGCTCGGGCAGGAAACGGCCCTCTCTTTTTCTTTTTTCCCTTGAGATATGGGGCCTCACCGCACTACTGACCAAATGTATAAAAAGAGAATGAATCTTCCGCTAGAACGTCGAAAGATTCACCACGACCATTTTTTGTCTTTTGTGCATTTGGTGACGTGTGCGGCGAGGCCCATCATCAGCATACTTTAACTCACGGAGTAACCGACATAGAGGTTATACTACTGTCGTGTGGCTTCGACTACTCAACGTTACGATGGCAAGCAACGGGAATGCTAACATGGTGGAGGTTCAGAACTGTTACAACTGTGGACAGCCTGGGCACATCTCCAGATACTGTCCTTTTCCAGATCGGCGTCTCAACCAACCTGCTACTTCGACTGCGATTGTMCCAGCCACTCCTTTGCTGACTGCGCCAGCGGTGACTGTTGGAGCTATTTATTCCAATCAGTATTCCAATGGTGGTGGTCAGTGTAGTTGGCTTGGGAAACGGGTGTTCACTTTGGAAGAAAAGGTCGCTAGGATTAGTATTAGACATGATGCGGAGGAGGCTAGAGAACGAGCAGAACGAGTGGATGCTGACAAGAAGAAGCGTGAAAAAGAAGATGAGGAGCGACGTCAGCGTGAGAAACAGGAGCGTGAAGAACAGCAATCGAAGATGCACAAGGAGATGGGTGAAAAGTTGGATAAGGTGGTGGAGGCAATTAACAGGAAGAAGACTAACGAGGGAAATGAAGTAGCTATTCTTAAAGCCGAAGTCGAAAGACTAAGTCGGTTAAATGCAGGTGCCAGCACCTCCGCTACTGTGGCACAACTGAGTAACGAGCACAAAGAGTTGGTTCGGCTTCGCCGCGAACAAGCTGAAATGAAGGCTGCTGCCGACAAATGTTTCTCATCGCTGGAAGGTGTTATCCTTGCACTTCAGAGACAGTGCGAGGACGCTGAGAACAATGCTGAAGTATGGCAGAACGAGGCCCTGCGTCCAGGGAATAAACGCGGTTGCGTGGCTGTTGGGAGCACTCCAGTTACTGAAGCAAGGGTTCAGCCTCGTACTACCTCGGCAGTTCCTAGTGCGGCACGGCAAGTGGATGCAGTTGAAGGGTGTCGTTGAAAGGCACCAGGCGGAGGTTGAGTTACTCAAAGAAATGCGACTCAAGGAGGTGAATGCTCGGAGAGAATCGGAGAAAGAGACTGAGAAGTTAAAAGAAGAGATGGCGAGACTTCAGACTGTGAAGAAATCGAAGGCCCGTGGGACTAATCTGAAGTCCAGATTGGATGATGCGGCATGCGTTTCCGCTAGGAAAGGCAAGGGGAAGGTGCTGGACAGTCCAGCTAAGGAAGCGGTCGACAGGGAAGCTTTCGTTCGTAACGAACGAAAACAGCTACGTGCACTGAATAAAGAAGCAGTGGTGGCCATCTGCGAACAAGAAGGTATCACTTACACCACTCTCGATCCCACAAAGGAAGACATTGCGCAGAAGAGGGCGCCCGTTGTTTTCGACGGAGAAGGCGAAGATAGGGTGTTTCTGTGGTTGAAGTAACGGAAGATGGGGAGGGGAACTCTGAAACTGGTGTCGGGCGTGATTCAACTACTTCTTAGAATCACCCCCGAACGCGGCTTTTTTATGGAAATTTGTGCGTACCTGTTGTCAACTTCAATCTCTTTCATTAAGTTTCCTTCGTTGTCGCGAAATCAACTTACTTATCATCCTTGCTCTATGTGGTCTGATTCTGTTGGGTTGTATTCCATGGGGTGATAAGTTGTTTAGTTTTCTGGTGCACGCACGTTCTTCTAGAAGGGAGGATGCTGGCGAATGGACTGGACCGATTGTGAACGCTCTTATCTCACCTTGGACTAGGCATCTCTATGTTGGAAGCACCCAACGCGACCTTCATTCGTGTTGGAGGGAACATACGTATCGAACTTGTCATGTAAACGCTGTTGACAAGGGGAAGCGAAATGAGAAACTGTACCGATGGTTGAAAAGGTGTGGTGCACATACCTATGCTGTTGTCCCTCTTTGTAGAGTTTCGTCCAAAGATCTGGCCGAGACAGAGAAGTATTTCATACGGCTCTTATGTCCTGCTCTCAATACGAGGGACAAACCCAGGCGAAATCGAAGATGTCGGCTTGGTTTGAGAGAACGGTTGAGGAAGAAGAAGAGAGACCGTGTTAATGTTTCGGATGGTTCGAGAACGAGTGGATCTATTGTTCTTTTCCATTCTGGCTCTGGCGTTGTGTCTAATAGCTTGCTGAGGATTTTGGAAGACTGTAGGGTGCGAGCGGTATGTCGGACTGTTGTTCACTGTTCTGGTGGCGATCGAATCGTTGACCGATGGAAAGTGGTCAAACGGCTATCTGGTGGAAGTCTGGTCTCTTGAGTTTTTGGGTCAGTTGAACTCAAGTATGCCCGTGCGTGGATTAAGGGTGACGTAACTATTACTTTTAACTTCATTGTACCGTTCTTAAGTAGGACTCTGACTTTCAAAGCTCCGCTTGCTGGTTTGCTCAGTAACCCTCGGAGTTCCGGTATTCTTCATCTGTGGGATTTCGATAAGCCTGTTGCTACCTATACTGTCGTGCGAACTTTCAGCGAAAAGAGAACTCGTTTCGTTTGCGCTGTATTCTGTCCCAACACTGTCTGACACGTTTTGGGGTGCATGTTTGACAGAGATTGGTGGTGCATATCGTGTATGATGGGAGTATCTGTAAGGCTAGAGTTCAAAGGCTGTGTGTGCGGATTCTTGACCAGTTAGAGATCACTGATGCATGGAAGGGTATGCTAGCCCGACTAATGCGCATTGTTTGAACAAAACTGTGGGAGACTACATTCATAACTTTAGGAATTTCTCAAAATTGACTGGTATCACATGTAGTTGTACCGACTCCGATGCCTCCTTTCCGCGAGATAACGGTCATGTTGCTTTCCGTTTGAATGATCTTTTTGATTTCCCTGTATGGATGAGGAACACAAGAAACATAATGTGCCCGTCACGTATTGGATCAGTAGGGGCTCTTCGTAAACAGGTAGCCTTTGCTTTCTCTTCACTCCCCTCTCTTCCCCCTGTCAATTCCTCTTTACTCACTTCGGAAAGTCTGCGTGGTTGTTTTCTGCGAGGAGATGCCTTGGGACAAGGTACGACGGCTTGTGAAGATGATTTATTTTCCCTTCGGTCTAAGTTGACTGGGCTTGTATGCACTCCGCTTGACCATAACTTGGGCGATACGTTCGTCTGTTGTCCACCGATCTATGAATTGGGGATGAGGAAGTTGTTCTTTGGGAACCCTGCGTTCAGCGCATGCAATAAGAAGGAGAGTCTTGTCTTGGATGAATGTCGGTGTGAGTACCAGAGAAATGATCTGCAAGCCGTTGGGGCTTGGAAAAAGAGTGGTAGCTTTGGGAAAGCCTACTGTCTTCCCAAGCACAAGGATGTCTCTCGTTGGAGACCAATATGTCCGTCGTATCCTGAGTGTTCAGCGGTGGGAGGAAGAATCGTGTCCAAAGCTGTCAATGCGTTACTTCGGAGTTTGCCGTCAAATTCTAACTTTAACCTCCGGAGTGCTGATGGTTTGTTGACACGGATTAAGGAAGTTAATAAAGGTGTGACTAAGGGGCACAAGCTGGTAGCAGCGGCTTTCGATATCAAGGAAATGTTCTCAAATCTCCCGCATGATTCCATTTTAAGGGCTCTACGATGGGTCATAGACTATTGGCAGGATCAGGGTGTGTCGGCTGTTGCTGTACGCAAGCGGTGAGGCAGCAAAGCTCCTTAAGGGGGCTATCGGCATTGGGTGGAAAAAGGTTACTTTCTCTAGTGTCTTTGACTTTATCTCTCTCGAACTCAAGCATACCTTTGTCTCTGCTGCTGGGCAACTCTTGCGACAGGTAGAGGGTATCCCAATGGGGAAGTCTTCCAGTCCTGGTTTAACTTGCCTGCTCTGACGTGTTTGGGTGCCAATCGAAAATTTTTCAAGGGGGTTAGAATGATCGACGATGTCTCTGTGTTCATACACTGTATCAAGAATGATCTGCAAGGACAAAGAAGGGCGAATGATCTTATCCAAAGGTTTAGCCAATGCTGCGATAGCAATCTTGTCCTGGAAAAAACCAGTGAGGATGTGTGGTGGGACTACCTCGGATGTGTTCTTAAGATTTTCGAAGGAAAAACTGATGTGTTGTATTTTCCTATGATTAAGAATCTCTCTTCTTTTCTTCCTCTTCTTCTTCTTCTTGTATGGATTGTCTATGTCGGCATCTTGGTTGTCAAACCATCATTTTTTGTGGTGCTAATCACTAGCATACCATCATCATCTATGATGATCGGATACAGGCCAATTCAGAGTTGTAGGGCCTCGCTGCACAACTTTTTTTTTTTTTTTTTAATGTGCTAAATGAGAATGAATCCTCTGCTAGAACATGGAACGATACACCGCCATCTTTTTTGTCTTTGTGCATGTGGAGAGTAGTGCAGCGAGGCCGTGACGAACTGTTTTCTACAACCGCGCAATTTTCTACGCAAGGCTACTTCGGAGATTGAATCGGGAGGGCCCACGGGATTACATAAGTGCCCTTGTTTTTCTTGTTTTTTGAAATCGAGGCCAGGGTAATATTGTGACGGTTGGTAGCTGATCGCGCCTTAGCGATCGATACTGTTGCCATAGCTTCTTTCTTGTTCTGATGTGGGAAATGAGAATTTTGGCGAAATCATCGCGCGGGAAAATCTTTTTGAATTTTCAACTGATGTCGAGCCCTCGTGGGCTCTCGGAATTTGCTTCGTTTGAAATTTCTTGTTACAATTAGGATTGAGATTAGTAATTTAGACGCGTCTCGATTTTTGCTGCATGACGCTTCTTGCTTGTGCACGCTTTGTCGCGTTAGGATCTGTGTTCTGACTTTGTCGCGCCTTAATCCTTGCATGTAGCTGTAATTTTGGTTTTGGTGGCCATAATTGGAATTGTTATCCTCTCATTCTTGATATTTTTTGTGCCGCCCCTGTGTGCAAGTACTTCTTCCTCTGTCCTATTGGCCTGAAAGCTTGCATGACCGGATCGATGTGTGGAGTGAGGCTACGTCCCCCACGCCGCGGCCTGGCCATGCAGACGTAGGCACTTCCTTCCTCCTACTTTCTCCCTCAGGTACAACCCCGGGTATCTCGCGCAAGCATGCATGCTATAAATCTTGCAAGCGCGATTAACTCGCTCTCTCAGAATTTTGGGAGTTAGCGTGGTCGAGAGGATTTGCTAACGAGCAAGAGTTGGAAGGTGAGTAGAGAGTTGGGCGATCCGACGAGCTGATACTGGGCATGTGGGGTTGACGTGGGGCCGCGACGGAATGTGGCGCACAGGCGAACCTGGCTTGCATGCTCGGATCAAGCGGGGTGACAACTCTTTGTGGGTGCGAGGCGACGGACTGCTCGCACCAGATGTTGTGAAGAGAGAGAGAGAGAGAGAAAGAGAGAGAGGAGCCGGGAGGTGAGTGGCGAGGTTCTTCTTCTATCCCTCTGAGTAATTTTGGTTCTTCTCTTATTCTTCCAAACAATTTTGATATACGGCACAAGTCGCCCTTGTCCTTTTTGGATCGGCATCTCGGATTTGTTTTCCTTCATTTCTTCTCAAGAGATTGATGTGTGGTCGTCTTCCCCCACTCCCCTTCTCTGTCTTTTGAATCGGCAAAACTTATTGATTGGTTACTGGCAATCGAGCCTTATGTGATCTCTGGGCTGGTTGGCCAAAAAATTGTTGCATAAGGATCTTCGATCACTTCTCTTTGAATGTAAGCTAGATGCATGGATGCTAGGTGCGATTCTGTCTGTGTTTGAATCAGTTACGCATATTAGATGATTAGATGTTTGTCTCACTATAGGACGATCCATCCCGCGAGCCGCTGGTTTTCACCCATCTGATTGAAGGACAGGTCCCATGCCCGCACGTGTAGGCCCAACCAAGGACAATCGCTGCATACACGAGTGTCTGCGAAACCTGGACTTGGCCAAATTCCCGAATGTTCAAATGTTTGTCCCTCCTATAACATGAATTTCGAAATCCATTTTCGTATCACTGATCGTGGGTGTTTGAGAGATCAGAAATTCCGGGGATATTGGGAACACTCCTGCTTGTCATCACGATCGCGGGCGAAACCCCCGAGCTTCCCTTACTTGACCAGAAACAAACGTATTTGGGAGTGGGACCAGGACCGGGCCTTGGAACATATCCCCCATCTCCCCAGCTACTCTAGCCCAAACACATGTCATGTCATCGCGGGACCCGGGATCATTCTCTTAGGGACCAAATTCTCTCCCCATCACCGCATCCTACCCTATCACTCCGTAACCATCGTCCCGTGGCTCGCAATCACTCCTGACTGGCGCCAACCCCCGTGCTCGGAGCGTTTGTAGGACCACGAGTATCGAGCCTCCGGCTTCATCCGGCGAACTCGCTCGGAGGAAGAACGGCAGGCGCACAGCCTTCGACTGAGGCCGACCGCGTCGAGCTCCGAGACCTGTGACGTTCGGCGCCGGCAGATGATCAGCCAGCGAGATAGCCATAGCTTTGACGCACGTGCGAGAGACACGTGCGGAGATGGTGAGAGAGAGAGAGAGAGAGAGAGAGAGAGA